GATACTAAAAACCAGTTATTATTATTCCTAACATCCACCTTTAAGATTATTAAAGAGTAAATGAGGCTGGACGCCATGGCTCACGCCTATAATGCCAGCATTTTGGGAGGCTGAGTTGGGAGGATCACTTGAGCCCAGGAGTTTGAGACCAGCTTGGGCAAGATAGGCAGACCACATCTCTATAAAAAAAATAAAGGGTCAGGCATGGTGGCTCACACCTGTAATCCCAGCATTTTGGGAGGCTAAGGCAGGTGGATCACCTGAGGTCAGAAGTTTGAGACCAGCCTGGACAACATGGTGAAGCCCATATCTACTAAAAAAAACCAAAAGAATTAGCTGGGCGTGGTGGTGTGTGCCTGTGATCCCAGCTACTTGGGAGGCTGAGGCAGGAGAATTGCTTGAACCCAGGAGGTGGAGGTTGCAGTGAGCCAAGAACATGCCACTGCACTCCAGCCTGGGCATCAGAGTGAGACTTCATCTCAAAAAGAAGAGGATAACTGGGAATGAAGTTTGGATTAAGCAAACAGGACTGCCTTCTGTACTTGGGTACCTTCTAGTCAAATTTTAAGACCAAGCTTGTGCATCATCACCTCCAGGAAGCCATCCTGGATTTCTCCCGCCAGCTGACACTAGTTTAAGTGTCCCGTTTCTCTGCTTCCGGTCCATATTTCTGTTTTCAAATGTATACTAGGGAATTTAATAATCTATTTACTGGTCTGTCTCCTGCACAGCTGGGGTCCCCCCATCCTGGATTCCCAGGTCTGGGTGGTGGTGGGCTCCCTGTAGCCCCCACTGCTTGTCGAGTAAGTCAAGTCTTTCCTGAGACTTGCCTTGGCATCACTGGGGTGTGGGAGTCACACCATGGTCCCCACTCCCAGGGGACAAAGTCTGGTGGAGAAAAAGGAGAACTCTTGGGCCAGTCTGAGCAGCTGCAGCCGAGGGCTCTCCAGCAAGGGGTCCAGGGGCTGAGCTGGGGGCACCTCCACAGAACAGGACATTCCCAGGAGCACACCAGGCCAGAGGCCCCTATCACCAGGGTCTGATCCCCCTGGCATGTCCCTCCCTGGACACTGGGTCCCTCTCATCTCTGGCCACCCCCATCATCAGGGTCTGATCCCCCTGCCATGTCCCTCCCTGGACACTGGGTCTGTTTCATCTCAGGCTCCTCTTGGCCTCTTGTCAGCCTCGGGAGAACTCTCTTCTGCTGGATCAGGCATTGCCAGCTGTCCCAACTCCTTCCTCTCTCTGGGCCTCAGTTTCCCCACCTGTCTAATGCAATGAAAGCGTATCCAGCTCTGACCACTGTGATTCTGTGTGGAAACCATTGCCTTCAAACGTGTGTCTCCTGAGGGTGATGCTGGGGTCTCCTCCTCTTCCTTTACCCTCATCATGCCCGGCACAGGGCTGGACACAGGGGCCGGCTCACTAAACACGTCTCAAAGCAGAGAGCCCCTGCCAACAGCAGCCGTGGGGTCTGTGCTGTGGGGTGGGTTGGGGGGGTCCTGGCTAGGGAGCCCCTTCCCCAGGAGTGACTGTCCCTGAGCTTTGGCCATCTTCCTGTGGCTTGTTCTCTCTGGCCTGGGGGAGGCTGCTCTTGGGGAGACCCTGCCTTCCACCTGTAGCTGGGGGCCGTGAGGACCTGCCAGGCCCCTCGATGGAGGTAGGATCAGAGAAGCGAGTGATTTCATCAGCGTCTCACCTGTTCACAGCTTGTGAGATGGAGTGGGGAAGGTGTCTGATATATCCTTAACTCCCATACCCTCCGGCTTCACACAAGACTCCCTGGGCTCTCCGCCCCCAGCCCCCTGCCTGCCATTCATGCCCCAGGAGGCTCCTTCCTTGGTCCTCTCTCTGGGCCTCCGTTTCCCCACCTGTCTAATGCAGAGTGGGGGAAACTGGCTGAGTGGGGTCTCTCTTTGGCTGCATAGTGTGGAAAGGGGCAGCACCAGAGAGCTGGGAAGCAGCAGTCAGCGGCCGCACAAATCAAGGATCCAGGCGGCCCCGGGAGAAGGAAGTTTATTGCTCTTGCAGGGACTCCCTGTCGCCGCTCCCAGCAACAGGTCACAGCTGCATTTTCTGGAGGAGCAGAGAACAGTGTGAGGGACTCAGGGCTGTGCCACCTTCCGGGGCAGCACAAGGCTTTGTCCGGAGGATGGGTCCATGGGGGCATGGCCGGCAGCCCCCAGCCTTCACATGCCAGCCTTATCCCTGTCTAAGGGGTCTGAGCCCCTCAGCATTTCAGGCCATTGTACAAAGGGGTCTTGGAACACACCCTGTCCCCAGTGGGGAAGCCCCCAGCCCAGGGTGACCCTCTGTTCCCCTACTCTCAAGATGATAATGGCCATCTACACCATCCCTCTCCTCGGCTGGGCCACAGCCTCAGAGGGTCAGGTTTTGGGGGAGACTGGTGTGGGGCCTGGATGGGGACATAAGTGCTTGATGAAGGCAGTGGATGGATGGATGGAGGAGTCGATGACTGTTTTCCTTATTGGGACCCAACTCAAGGCCTGCTACTGGAAGCACTCAACCAATATTTCTTGAATGAGAGAGTGAATGTGTGAATAAGTGCATGAATAAATCACTGAATGAGCAAATGAGAGAGTGACTAAATGCATGAATGAATGAGTGACTAAATGCATGAATGAGTGAATAAATGCAAGAATGAGTGAATGAATCAGTGAATAAATGAATGAATAAATGTGTGAATGAGTGAATAAATGCTGAATGAGTGAATAAATGCATGAATGAGTGAGTGAATAAACGCATGAATGAGTGAATAAATGCATAAATGAGTGAGTGACTAAATGCATGAATGAGTGAATAAGGGCAGGAACGAGTGAATAAATGAATGAATAAATGCATGAATGAGTGAGGGGGTGGGCGAGTGAGGGGGAGGGGCTGACAGGTGCAGGGACAGCTGTGGAGGTGGCACCCACCTCGTTGATCCAGTCGATGTAGGCGGACACCCGGGTATAGACTACCGGCTTCTTGCGGGTGTTGCAGCCCTGCGAGGAGCCAAAGCTGACGATGCCAAAGACCTCCCAGGAACCGTTCTCCAGCTGGCAGTTCAGTGGACCACCGGAGTCCCCCTGCACCAGACCGGGAGGGCATCAGCCACCAGGCCCCCGAGAGGCAGGCTTGGGAAGCAGGGCTGCGTTGGGGTGGGGGATGTGGGTTGGTTTCTTAGCCTTAGTTAGTAGACAGCTTTGGCCTCAGCCTGCCCATGGTGAGGGAGGCAGAGGAAGTGTGGTTTGGGGCTGCCTTGCCCTTGTTCTAGGAGGCCCTGGGGTGTCGGACTAGCTCTTGGTTTGCTGTGTGATCTTGGGATGATGTTACGCCGCTCCGTGCCTCAGTTTCCCTAGCTGTTCAGGTCTCCTTGTCTAAGACTCTGTGAGCTACTCAGAGCAGTGAGGATGCTGGCAGCTGTGCCAGAGGCCTGGGAAGGTGAGGAAGGAGGGCGGGAATGGGGAAAGGGTTGTGTGTGTGAAAACAGGACATTCCCTGATTATCTTAGATGTTTTATGGTTCTGGTCTCCCTGGACTGGTGGAGCAAATGGCATGGAGGAGCATGTGTAGAGACTTCAGTGAAGCCTCTTCTGCATCCTTTAAACTCATTTAATCCTAACCCTGTGAAATGGTTACTGTAACTCCATTTTACAGATGGAAAAACTGAGGTCAGAGGTTCAACGGCCTTCCCAAGGTTCCGCAGCTCATAAATGGTGGGACTGGGGCTTGAACTCAGATACTCATGCTCAATGCTCATGCTCTCACCACAGTGCTGAGCGGGGGGTGGTGATGGGCTTACCCTGAGCCTGCTGGGCCCAGCCAGGGCTCGCTCGGTCTCCTCCCAGGGGAAAGGTTTGGTCCATCACACCCCTCTCCTCCCACGTCCTCTTGGCCACTTGGAGTAGGGACAAGGTGCAGAACCTAGTCACTCACATTGCAGGCTGAGATGACGCCGTCGCCCCCAGCACACACCATGGTTTTCCTCACCCTGAAGCCCCACCAGTCAATCCTGGAGCACGTGGCGTGATCCACTACGCGCTGCAGGCCCTGCTGCAGCTCATCAGCGATGGGGCCGTTGGCTGGGGAGAGAGTGAGCAGTGACCAGGGAGGCAGCCGGGCAGCCCAGCCCAGTCCAGTCCCTCCCCAGGCCTTCAGGGAGCAGAGGCCTGGGATGGGACCCAGGGGAGCGCCGGCTGAGACGCTGTGCAGACCACACACCTGCCCTTCATCAAGAGGCAAGCCCAGGTCCCAGAGGGCCAGGAGCAGGCTGCCGGCAGAAGGAAGCTGCAGCGGTGAGTTGAATTGTCTTTAAATTGGATTCTGGGGGTTTAGTTGTCAGTCATTTCTTGCAGGTCTCTGTCTTTGCTGTCACACATTAAAAAGCCTTTCTCACCCCCAAGATTTTCTTTCTTTCTTTCCTTTTTTTTTTTTTTTTTTTTTTAAATTTTTTGATACAAGGTCTTACTCTTGCTCAGGCTGGAAAGATCACAGCTCACTGCAGCCTCAAACCCCTGGGCTCAAGTGATCCTCTCACCTCAGTCTCCTGAGTAGTTTGGGACTACAGGTACACACCACCATACACTGCTATTTAAAACATTTTTTTTTTTGTAGAGATAAGGTCTCACTATGTTGCCCAGGCTGGTCTTGAACGCCTGGCCTCAAGTCGTCTTTCCTCCTCAGCTTCCTAAAATGTTGGGATTACAGGCGTGAGCCGCCACACCTGGCTTCTCCCCCAGGATTTTCTAAATAGTGATCTGCATTTTCTTCTAAGTATCCCACAGTTTCATGATTTGCATTTACCTTTCAATTCCTCTGGGATCTATGTGGGCATATGGTATACCGTAGATGTCACCCCCCAACCCTAAATGGTTTATTTTCCTTTATCTACACGACAGTGTGTGCCAAGTGCTGTTCTGAGCACTTGACACATTCTAATTCGTCTAAACCTCACCACATCCCTCAGAGACCCTTGTTAGTGTCTGTCACATGGTATGTGCTTAATAAATATGAGCTGTTATTGCTACAAAGTTTACAAAGACATGAAAATGTGAAGGCAGAAAGGGAAAGTGGTGGCATGCTGCTTCCTTCAGGAAGGCTCTCGGGATTTACCAGGGACGATACTCACTCCAGAGGCGGCCCCAGCCAGTGACATAGCAGGGGTAGTCGTTGGGGAGCAGGGAGTCCTTCTCTGGCAGGCAGGCCACCTGGATGGTGTCACTCAGCTCCACGTGCTCTGCAAGCTTGATGAGGGCAATGTCGTTGCTAGAATCCAAAGTGGAGAGGGTGAGTGGGCAGGAGGACCCTGGCCCCACAAGTCCAGGTTAAGGGGCTCGGGTTGTGAGTTGGGAGTCAGGCCCAGGGTGCTCAGGGGTCCTGCACAAACTTCCTGACTGCCAGCTGCTTCTTGACCTTCGGGGATGTCGGGATGAACGATTCACCATCTAACATGATCACCCGCCCTGTTGACGGCTTCTTTTTGCATGTCATCACGTTGGGAAAGGGTTAACAGAGGGAGGTGGGGGTGGAAGTGTTAAAAACCACTGCTGGCTGTGTGCCCATTGAAACAGAGGCTATAGCAAGTTGCAAACTCTAATGCCAAAGATGGCACTTGCAGATGCCAGTTTTAATATTTTCAAGTTACAGGCATAAAAGCTGGCCGCCTCAGACACACCTGGTTTGATTCCTGGTTCTGCCACAACGTGGGCTGTGTGACCTGGGACACATTTCTTAACTTCTCTGAACCTCGGTTTTTTGTCCAGGGCTGTTGTGAGGATTGCATAACAGATGACATATAAAGTGTCTATTGCCATGTGGGCATACAGTAGGCACTCAATAAAGGTGAGCCCTGGCCCAGCCTCTGGAGAGACACTGTGGGGGGCCTTCCTGTGGACCTTCCTGGGAGTCTTGGCGAATGAGGGGGATCCGAGGGGTATTTGTCTCCAGTTAGCATTTTGCCATTTTGTGTAAGAGAGTCATTCGCTGGCTGGCCAGGGTGAGGGTGGGGTGTCCGGTGTGGGATGCGACAGGCTCTGCGGCTCTGTCTTGGGGACCCCTCCTTCCACACTGCCCCCAGCGGCTGTGGGATGGGCAGTTTGTCACTCACATTGCCAGGTCATAGCTCCAATTCTTGTGGACATAGATGGTGTCCACACCCACAAACAGGGATCCTTCCTCATCTTCCACCTCCAGGTTGTGCTTTCCCAGGGCCACACGGTAGATCCGGTTGTTGCTGGGCAGAGGAAGGGGACCAGGTCAGGGTGGCCCCTGGTCCTGCCAGCCAGTGGAATAGAGAGGGAGCTTGGGGCTTTAGTGGGACCCATTTGAGGGGAAGAGAATGTCCCCATTGTCCTTTCCCAGGATGACGGGGAAGGGCTTAGGACTTGGGGTCAAGGGACTTGGGTTCATGTTGTGAGCTTGCTGCTCCTGGCTGTGTAGCCTCCTGCCTCAGTTCCCTCATCTGTAAGGGGGAGGCAATACTGGAACATACTCCCAGGGTGGCTGTGAGAATAAACTCATCCAAGCCTCCACCGCTCTTGCCTGCACAATTGCGGCATCCACCTAACTGCCCCTCACTTGTACGCTGGCCTACTCCTGTCTATTCCGAACCCAGCAGTGTGGGTTTAAAAATATCTCAGGCCAGGTGCAATGGCTCACGCCTGTAATCCCAGCACTTTGGGAAGCTGAGACTTGAGGATTGCTTGAGGCCAGGAGTTTGAGACCAGCCTGGGCCACATGGCAAATCCCCATCTCTACAAAAACAGAAAACTTGTGGTGAGGTTTGGGCTTCTAAGTTAAAAAACAAGCAAACAAACAAACAAAAACAAGATGAAAAATTAGCTGGGAATGCCTGGTGGCGTGTGCTTATGGACCCAGGAGGGATCTATAAACTACTCGGGAGGCTGAGGTGGGAGGATCGCTTGAGCTCAGGAGGTCCAGGCTACAGTGAGCCATGATGGCGCCACTAAATGAGACTCTGTCTCTACCAAAAAAAAAAAAAAATTATATATGAAATATAGAAAATGAAATATATGGCAATATATATTTTTTATAAACTATATTAAAAATATTTTATGGAATATATAGAAATATGTCAGCCCACAACTCTCCTTTGCTCAGAAACCCTTCTAAGAGCTCCCTCTTACTCAGGGTCCAAGCCAAAGTCCTGACAGCGACCTGCACTTATTTCCTGTCTAGCTCCCCTCCTCCCACTCTGCTCTAGCACACACTGCCCCTGCCACACCGGCTTCCTCGTTACTTCTCAACCATACCGACAGGTCTCTTCTCCAAGCCTCTGCGTGGCTGTTCCCTCCACCTGGAACACCCCTCCCCTAGATCCATGATTTCCTCCCTCACTTCCTTCAGGCCTTTGCCCAGATAACCCCCTTTTAGCTCTCTGAAATGTCTCAAATATTTGCCAAATATCCCCCCTTTGAGCTCTTCGCCTCACCATTCCTTTAAAAATAGAACCCCTCATTCTGGTTTTCCTCTTCTGACCTTATTTTTATTTGTTATTTTTTTGCGATGGAGTCTTGCTCTGTTGCCCAGGCTGGATACATGGGCGCCATCTCGGCTCACTGCAACCTCCACCTCCTGGGATCAAGTGATTCTCCTACCTCAGCCTCCCAAATAGCTGGGATTACAGGTGCCTGCCACCACACCTGGCTAATTTTTGTATTTTAAGTAGAGACGAGGTTTTACTATCTTGGCCAGGCTGGTCTTGAACTCCTGCCACCAGCCTCGGCCTCCCAGAGTGCTATGATTACAGGCTTGAGCCACCGCACCTGGCCAGTACCTTCTTCTTATTATTATTTTTTAAAATCACCCGAGATGTAATATCTTGTTTAACTGTCTGCCGCTCTGCCTGCCACAAGAATGTAAGCTTCCCAAGAGCACAGACTTCGTCTTCACTGCTGGTTCCTGGCACATAATAGATGCACGATAAATACTTGACTGAATAAATGAGCTACTGGGTGTGAGTAGCTTCTGTAGCCCAGCGCCTGGAGTGTGAAGAAGCTGCTCAGTAAAAGCAGAGTATCAGCCTCCCGCCCCCGGGTGATGGCCAGGTCTCAGGGTATCATCCCCGCACACCTGATGCAGTGGGCAGCGGTGAGGACAAAGTTGCTGGCGATCAAGGTCCCGCCGCACGTGTGCCACCACCTGTTGTTCTCGAGGTACTGGAGGGAGATCTGCAGGAGGGTGGGGATCACTGTGTGTCAACCCGTGGGTCCCTGGGACCCTCACCCCACCAGCCTCTCTATCTCTACCTCCCAGCCCCACACAGGCTTACCTGCCAGGGCCAGCTGTGGGGCTGGGCAGTCTCTCCTCCCACCACACGGGCGGATAGGCTGGGCGGGAAGCTGGGCACCCCGCAGCTGGAGGCTGCGGAGACAGGAGGCCAGGAGAGCCGGTGAGTGGGGCTGGCTGCCCATGGGGAAAGGGGTGGTTGGGTGGGCAGGTGGAAGGAGCACAGATTTGGGGCTGAGCAGACACAGGGTTGATACTTTACTGTGTGACATGGGGAAGTCACCCAGTTCTCTAGGCCTCGTTTTCCCTTTCTGTGAAATGTGAAGAATCACACTAACCCGGTGAGTTTGTCCTGAGAACTGAATTAGACAACACATAGAAAAGAAAGCATTTGGCTGGGCACGGTGGTTCACACCTGTAATCCCAGCACTTTGGGAGACCAAGGGGGATGGATCCCTTGAGGTCAGGAGTTTGAGACCAGCCTAGCCAACATGGCAAAACCCTGTCCCTACTAAAAATACAAAAATTAGCCAGGTGTGGTGGCACATGCCTGTAACCCAGCCACTCAGGAGGCTGAGGCAGGAGAATCGCTTGAGCCTGGGAGACGGAGGTTGCAGTGAGCTGAGATCGTGCCATTGCACTCCAGCCTGGGTGACAAGAGCAAAACTCCATCTCAAAAACAAACAAACAAACAAGAAAATGTGGCTGGCATGTGTGCGAGTGCCTGGTATACCCGTGTTCTTCTGTCCCTTTTTAGGCCCCTGCATCATGGTGTGTGTGTGAGAGAGTATGAAGTCCACTGTTACAGCTGGGAAGATGTGTGGAGCGGTCAAGAACACGTGCTGTTCCGCGAGACAGACTTGGACTCAAATTCTGCCTCTTCCACTAACTTGCCATGTGATGTCAGGCAAGATACTAAGTTGCACTGAACCTCCATGTCCTCATTTGTAAAATGGGGCTATTAATAAACCCTACCTCTTTTTCTTTTCCTCCTTGTTTTTTTTTTGTTGTTGTTGTTGTTGTTTGTTTTTATTTTTGAGATGGAATTTCACTCTTGTTGCCCAGGCTGGAGTTTGATGGCACGATGTCGGCTCACTGCAACCTCCTCCTCCTGGGTTCAAGCAGTTCTCCTATCTCAGCCTCCTGAGTAACTGGGATTACAGGTGCCCACCACCATGCCTGGCTAATTTTTGTATTTTTTGTATTTTTAGTAGAGACGGATTTCACTATGTTGGCCTGGCTGATCTCGAACTCCTGATCTCAAGTGATCCACCCACCTCAGCCTCACAAAGTGCTGGGATTACAGGCGTGATCCACCGTGCCTGGCAATAGACACTACCACTTAAGGATCAAATTGGCTCCTACATGTAAGGGTCCCAGCACAGCACCTGGCACATAGTAAACACACAGAAAACAGGAGCTGCTATTATTACTGTTGTTGTAGTTGTTAGCTGGAAGGACTCTTCATTAAGTGCTCTCCTTTGCAAAAAAAGCCAGTGAGATTTAGAGAGGTGAAATGACTTTTCCAGGTCCTGCAGAGAAGAAGTGGCATTTAAGCCAAGTCCCTGGGCTCCTAATCTGGGAAAATGCCACCAAAATGATGGAATGGAGAATCCCCAAGGGAGAGAGGGTGCTGGGAAAGGCAGGTCCCGATGGTCCCTGGGGTGAACCCAGGATGAGGCATCTCGTGTCCCTGACGCTAATGTGCAGCTTTCCACACCTCGTTTCTAACTGGGGACATGTCAGATCATCTTCCCTGTTCTGCAGATGTGGAAACAGAGTTGCTAGGCAGGCTGTGGCTTGCCTGAAACACAGCTGGTTGGTAGCATCTGAACCCACAAAGTGTCTTACCTGGAGAGTAGAGACCCCCACCCCCATCCTGTCCTTGCCCTGGAGGCCAGCCTGAGCTCACAGCCTGCAGGCTACAGCCCCACCCCACCGCTTACCACAGGCCAAGAGTGCAGTGAGGACAGTGATGCCCAACATGGTTGGATGCTCAGGACTGGCTGACCCTCAGGATGGGCTGGGCACACTTATAGGCAAGAGCAGGTGAGTCACCTGGTCAAGGCCAAACCGCCCCTTGGAGAGAAACCTGCTCTGATAAGACCCTTTCCCCGACCTTGGGTGGTTACTGTTTAATTCGGGTGGGAGATGGGGCTTTTTTAGAAGTATGGATTTTCCAAATATCCTGAAACAGAAAATTGTGAGTTGCAGTGCTTTTTGGCTCCCCCCCCCCCCACCACTCTGCTTGATGTGTGTGTTCGTTCTCTCTCCCTACCTTATAATTAATTAATTAATTAATGTATTTATTTATTTGGAGATGGAGTCTTGCTCTGTCACCCAGGCTGAAGTGCAGTGGCGCAGTCTCAGCTCACTACAACCTCCATTTCCCGGGCTCAAGCAATTCTCATGCCTTAGCCCCAGTGCAGCTAGGACTACAGGCACCTGCCACCACGCAGGGCTAATTTTTTTTTTTTTTTTTGAGTCGGAGTCTCGCTCTGCCGCCCAGGCTGGAGTGCAGTGGCCGGATCTCAGCTCACTGCAAGCTCCGCCTCGCGGGTTCATGCCATTCTTCTACCTCAGCCTCCAGAGTAGCTGGGACTACAGGTATCCATCACCACACCCAGCTAATTTTTTGTATTTTTTAGTAGAGACGGGGTTCCACCGGGTTAGCCAGGATGGTCTCGATCTCCTGACCTCGTGATCCACCCATCTCGGCCTCCCAAAGTGCTGGGATTACAGGCTTGAGCCACTGTGCCCGGCCTGTATTTTATTTATTTATTTATTTTCAGAACGGGGTCTTGCTCTGTCACTCAGACTGGAGTCTTGGCTCACTATAACCTCCACCTTGCAAATTCAAGCGATTCTTCTGTCTCAGCCTCCCAAGTAGCTGGGACTACAGATGTGTGCCACCATTTTTTTTTTTAATTTTAGTAGAGACAGGGTTTCACCATGTTGCCTAGGGTAGTCTCGAACTCCTGAGCTTAGGCAATCTGCCTACCTCAGCCTCCCAAAGTGCTAGGATTACAGGTGTGATTACAGGCCTCTTTTTAGTTATTTATTGGGCACCTACTGTGTGTTTAGGCATTAAGCTCAATTCTTCTTGCATTATTTCACTTAATTCTTCCAACAGCATGAAATAGACACGATTATCTGCTCTGAGATGAGATGAGAAAGGAGCAGGCACAGTGGCACATGCCTTTACCCCCAGCTACTCCTGAGGCCAAGGCAGAAGGATCGCTTGAGCCCAGGAGTTTGAGGCTGCAGTGAGCCATGATCGTGCCACACTGCATTCCAGAGTGGGTGACAGAACAAGACCTTGTCTCTAAAAAAATAAAATAAAAGTGAGGAAGCTGAGACCCAGCGGGTAAGTGACCATCTAGGGTCACATGGCTGGGTGGCAGCAGAGCCAGACTTTGAAGGTGGAGCTTCTAACACCAGCCTGGGGCTTCAAGCTGTGGAGACACACTGCTCCTTCTCTGCCTTTCTTGTGCCATTAGATCGCTTCCTGGCTCTCTTTCTGTCTCATCTTTCTAATTGCCTGGGCTTGGTGCGCTCCTGCACCTGCCTCCAGGGCTGTGGTTGGAGGCAGAGGCTCAGCAGGCTCTGGAAGGTGCTTAGATGGCCAGATTCCTTCCTGGAGTCAGCTTAGTTGTCGGTCCTCAGTTTCCCCATCTCTAAAATGGGCAGATAGGACCAGATGGCCTTTCAGGCTTCTTTCAGTCCTACGATTCTGTGACTTGATTGTCAAGGTCAGTGGCAGTTCTGAGGGCCCAAAGCACTGAGTGACAGAAGTTCCATCACAGCCTCCGGCGTTCGGGGTTGGCCATCCCTTGGAACATGTGGTTTGATCCATTCTCCCCAAGGCCTGGCCTCAGCCTGGTTGGTTAGATTCTGTCTTCCTTTTCCCCTCTACTCATACCGAGCTCCCCTTGAAGGTCATTTTCTGAGCTGGGCCTACTGGCCACCTTAGGAATTATTTCCTGAGAGAAAAGTTCAGAGCACTAGGCACCCCACGATTCGTAATGGTGATCTGGGGGTGAAGGAGGATTCTAACTTACACTTTACACTTTTTTTTTTTTTTTTTGAGAGTCTCGCTCTGTGGCCCAGGCTGGAGTGCAGTGGCGCGATCTCAGCTCACTGCAACCTCCACCCCTGGGTTCAAGCAATTCTCCTTCCTCAGCCTCCCGAGCAACTGGGATTATAGATGCCACCACCATGCCTGGCTAATTTTTGTATTTTTAGTAGAGACCAGATTTTACCATGTTGGCCAGACTGTTTCTTTTCTTTTTTTTTGGAGATGGAGTCTCCCTCTGTCGCCCAGACTGGAATGCAGTGGTGCGATCTTGGCTCACTGCAACCTCTGCCTCCCAGGTTTAAACAATTCTCCTGCCTCAGTCTCCTGAGTAGCTGGGACCAGTGCCACTAACCTTGCTAATTTTTGTTCCTTTTGTAGAGACAGGATTTCATTATGTTGGCCAGGCTGGTCTGGAACTCCTGACCTCAAGTGATCCACTCACCTCGGCCTCCCAAAGTGCTGGGATTACAGGCATGAGCCACCGTGCCTGGCCTCTAACTTACACATTTTTACGCAGCTTAAATTCTTTTTTAAAACAAACATATGTTACTTTGGTAATATAAAAATCAATAGGTTTAATGTTTTAAGAAAGATACACAGACAAGGAGTGGGAATGTGCACTGGGGGCTCTGTTCACTGCAGTGACCTCAGTCCTGGGGTGTCTGGGGATTTCAGGCTGTAGGGAATTTTCTGTTTCATTTTGGAGGTTGGTCGTGCATGATACAGGTTTATCAGTGGCTACTTACTGCCCAGGCTGCTTCAGACCCAGGGCTTTTGGTTGCCAAGCCTTGCAAAGGGTCATTCTAGCCTGGAGACTGGGAACATAAGCAGAGACATGGCTTGAGCTAGGTGACAGGTCTTGGAAATCAGCAGGGTGTGAAGGCGGGAGGCAAGACACCTGGTTTCCATCTCAGTCAGTGACAGAATGGATGACCCAGACCCTGAGCAACCTCTTTGAGCCTCAGTTTCTCTCATGTCCCTTGATTAATCTGAGAAAATGAATTAACTGGGCTTCTCCTCATAGGAGCTCATTAATTTATACTCAGAGATACAGCAACTTCTTAGCATGCATCTCAGCCATGTATACATGCCCATGGATTCACAAGTATACACAGACAGGTGACACACACATGCACACACACATATGCGCACACACATGCACACACATGCATGCAAACACATGCACACACATGCACACACACATATGCACACACACACGTGCACACACACATGCACATACACGTTCCTCCATGTCCACAAATATGCACATGCCAATGACATAATACATATAAAACATTCGGTTATGTGTAGAGCCAAGTACAGCCATGGGCCACGCATTCAAACATGTACACAAACATGGAAATGGCCAAATGGATTGATGATGAGGTGCCAGGTGAAGAGAGTTACTGTTAGCTTTCTGAAGGTTCACAGAGGAACTGACCTTTTTTGGAGGGAGGTTGCTGACTGCTCAGCTATAGGGAAACTTGCTTGTTTTGAGACATCTACAGGGAGGGGTCTTTTATGTAAGGCGGCACCAAACAATTGTCCCTGGAAAGAACTGAGGCTGCCCTTAATCTGTTTCAGATGCTGAAGACGGGATCGTAAGTGCTTTGCTTAGGGTTGAACCAAACTCAGCACTATTGCTTCATAGCTCTCTGGCCTTATACTTGTGACTCAACCTCTCTGTGCTTCCTCGTTTGTAAAGTGAGAGTGAAAACAGTACCTCCAGCTGGGCGTGGTGGCTGACGCCTGTAATCCCAGCACTTTGGGAGGCTGAGGCAGGCAGATCACTTGAGGTCAGGAGTTCAAGACCAGCCTGGCCAACATGGTGAAACCCTGTCTGTACAAAAATACAGAAATCAGCCGAGCGTGATGGTGGGTGCCTGTAATCCCAGCTACTCGAGAGGCTGAGGCAGGAGAATTGCCTGAACCTGGGAGGCGGAGGTTGCGGTGAGCCGAGGTCACACCACTGCACTCTAGCCTGGGCGACAGAGCGAGACTCTGTCTCAAAAAGAAAGAAAGAAAGAAAGAAAGAAAATGGTACCTCCCTCCTAGGGCTGTTGGAAGAAGTGCCTGGCACATGGTAAGGACTGTCTAAATGTTTGCTGTTACTATTATTATTGTTATCTGGTTCTTATGAGAAAGTTTGAGACTCGACTTGGTCACTCAGTACTTTTGCCTTCATGGGTCCCTTTTTCGATTAAAAAAATATTAAAAACTGGCTGGGCATGCTGGCTCGTGCCTGTAATCCCAGCTACTCAGGAGGCTGAGGTGAGAGAATCTCTTGAGGCCAAGAGTTCAAGACCAGCCTGGGCAACATGGTGAGACCCTTGTCTCTCAAAGAATTTTAAAAATTAGCTGAATGTGGTGGCACCGGCCTGTAGTCCCAGCTACTCTAGAGGCTGAGGCAGGAGGACTGCTGGAGGCCAGGGATTTGAGGCTGCAGTAAGCTATGATCGTGCTACTGCATTCTAGCCTAGCTGACATAGAGAGACCCCCAGCTCCAAAAAATAAAACATAACAAAATGAAAAATTATGTTTCCTTCAAAAAATAATAAAAATTATGTTTTATTATATAGTTATAAAATGCAATCCAGTTTGGATCCTTTTCATTTTTTTCCTACTGATTTTAAAGAAATCAAAATATTTTTGTGGGCCCCTAAAGCTATTATGGGCTCCAGGCCCTGTGGCCCCTCCTTGTGTGAGGTTCTAGATGACCCAAGGGCTGAGAGTTTGGGGAATGGTCTGTGGATCCCCCGAGCACCTTCTCTGGGCCCTGGAGGTGCCTTCAGCTGTGTCCCAGGGCAGTCAGGAGAAACTTGCTCTTCCTGAAAAAGGTGGACAGGTGTAGAAGCTGCCTCCGGGCACATGCGTGGCTGGTGCCAGCCCCTCCTGATCCCAGGCCTGGTTCAGGGAGCAGCCAGTCAGGCGACACCATGATCACAGTGGCTCAAACTGCCTAAGTTACGGTGGTGACGCTGGGTTGGCTGACCTGATTTTCTGGCCTTGATCACCGAGACTGAAGAAGTACCCCAGGGGGCCTATGGACATCTGCAGACGGAAGCCCTGGGAGGGCGGATTTTCTGTGATGGGAGGGGTCAGGGCTTGAAGTTGGATTAACTTGCATATTTATTTATTTATTGAGGCAGAGTCTTACTCTGTCGCCTAGGCTGGAGTGCAATGGCACAATCTCAGCTCACTGCAACCTCTGCTTCCTGAGTTCAAGCAATTCTTGTGCCTCAGCCTCCTGAGTAGCTGGGGGTACAGGCACGAGCCACCACGCCTGGCTACTTTTTATATTTTTAGTAGAGATAGGATTTCACCATGTTGACCAGGCTGGTCTCCAACTCCTGACCTCAAGTGATCCATCCCCCTTGGTCTCCCAATGTGCTGGGATTATAGGTGTGAGCCACCATGCCTGGCCTAATTCACATATTTAAAGAAGTGACTGTTTTGTTTGCTGGGGCTGTGAGTCACCGACATACCGTATACCCAGAAAACATCATTCATTCACTCATTCATTCTTCCCACATTCACTGAGCAACTACTGTGTGCAGTCCCCATGATAGGATTGGGAACATAGAGATAATAAGACCCGTTCAGCCGTGGGGAGCTTCCTGCTGGACAGGGTGAGTGGTCCTTGGAGATAGTCTCCCTTGGAGAGATGGGCCAGGGCGTGGAGTTCTGGGTGAGAAGAGACTGGTTCTGGTGGGGGTCTGATGGGGGCAGGCGGGGAAAGGATTCCTTCTGTACGGAATCCATGTCCAGAATGAATCTGAGGCCTCGAGGCTGAGAGAATGCCAGGATCCACCCCCATCCCACTGCTGAACCCTGGGATTTTCAGGGCCTGGAGTGGGGTCTCCCAGGACCCAGGACTTCAAAATCCTTGAGCCACTTGGGGCCAGACTGTGCTGGAAAAATAACCAGGGCCGACTTGGCAGAGGCAGCTGGAAAGGGCTGGGGGACGTGGTCAGGTGGTGCCCTAGGGCCTCGGAAGGAGCAATGCCAAGGTGGGGGTGGGGCGGGGTAAGAGCCTGAGAAAAGAGGCAGGTGTCACTGACGGGGCTGGGATTTTGTGGCCGCTGGGACAGGACTCTCAGGCGGCAGCTGTTACATCTCGGGTGAGGCCCACTAAGGGGCCAGCTGAGGGGCTGGCAGCGCTTCTCCTCCAAACCAGATGGAAGCACTGGGGGTTAGAGAGGGATGTGGGGCCAGTGAGGGGTTGGCGTTCATCGAGGGGTTAACAGTTCAGAGAGAGAGGCTGGGGGTTCCATGGGGATTTGGAGCTGGGACTCAATGCAGGGAAGGTTAATGAGAGGAGGGAACCTGGGAGGTTTTTTTTTTTTTTTTTTTTTTTTTTTTAAAGTGACAGGGTCTTGCTCTGTCTCTCAGGCTGGAGTGCAGTGGCGCGATCATAGCTCACTGCAGCCTTGAACTTCTGGGCTTAAGTGATCCTCCTCCTGAGCCTCCTGCGTAGCTGCCCAGCTAGTTGTTTTAAATTTTTTTCTAGAGATGAGGTCTCGCTATGTTGCCCAGGCTAGTCTTGAACTACTGGACTCAAGTGATCCTTCTACCTCAGCCTCCAAAAGTGCTGGGATTACAGGCATGAGGACGCTGTACCCAGCCCTTGGGGGTTTAAGGAGTCCTCTCTCTTGGTGCTGGGATCACTCCAGGTCCCTTCCCGCCTCAACCTCCTTTCTCTGCCAGGGCTGGGAGTTGGGGTCTTGTGCAGGCCAAGGCTGGGGGCTCTCCCGACAGGCTGAGACCCTTGGTGGAGAGCCCTGGCATGGGACAGCTGGCCCTGGTCTCTCCGCAGTCCAAAGGCTCGAGGCCCATGGCCATAACTTTGTAAGGTGCTTCCTTTTCAGTATGATTTGTTGCTCCTATTTTGTAGAGATCCAGGTCTCCCTATGTTTGCCCAGACTGGTCTTGAATTCCTGGCTTCAAGTGAGTCCTTCCACCCACCTCAGCCTCCCAAAGTGCTGGGATTACAGGTGAGCCACCGTGCATTCTTTCAGCGTCCCTGTCCCACTTGTTCTGAAGCCCTTTCCAAGCAGGATGTCAGGGGATGCAGATGTCATTCCTCCTCTCTCCACCCCAGGAGAGAGGCGTTTGAAGGCAGTGTGGAACTGAAAGTCAGATTGGTGGTGGTGTACAGTCTCACACCCTGGCTAGCACGTGGGGGAGGACACTGCCTTACCTTCCCCAGGCATCCCGGCTGCTGTAAAGTACCACCCCTGGCCACCTGGGAGCAACGTGCCCAACTAATCCAAACTCCAGCTCCCACCCTCCTAGGAAGACCCCAGACCCTTGCCCACCCTCGCATGGAACAGATGGGGAGACTGAGACCCCAGCCTAATCCAAACTCCAGCTCCCACACCCTCCTGGGAAGACCCCAGACCCTTGCCCACCCTCGCATGGAACAGATGGGGAGACTGAGACCCAGTGGGGACCTGATGTGTCTAAAGCCACACACAGAGAGCTGCTGGTGTCCGCCCCATCACCCCTGGGTTTTTCCAGCCTGTGGAAGACTTTGGGTGTCTCCCTGGCAGGGGCGCTTGGGGGTCTCTGGGGTGCACAAGCCATAATTCCCAGGGCCTTAATGCCACTGCTGGCCACCATGTGGCCTTGTGGAGAGGGGCAGCCCCTCCTCTCTGCTCACCTGGCAGGTTTGCGAGCCGTGACCTCCACAGCCTGGGCCCTGCCTCTTGCCGCCCCACTCGCCTGTATGTCTCTGAGAGACTTTCCAGGCCTCCCTGTTTTGTTTTGTTTTGTTTTGTTTTTGAGATAAATTTGTTTGTCACCCAGGCTGGAGTGCAATGGTGCGATCTTGGCTGACTGCAACCTCTGCCTCCCGGGTTCAAGCAATTCTCCAGCCTCAGCCTCCTGAGTAGCTGGGATTACAGGCATGTGCCACCACGCCTGGCTAATTTTTGTATTTTTGGTGGAGATGGGGTTCCACCATGTTGGCCAGGCTGGTCTCGAACTCCTGACCTCAGGTGATCCACCTGCCTTGGCCTGCCAAAGAGCTGGGATTACAGGTGTGAGTCACTGTGCCCAGCCGCCTCCCTGTTCTTATCTGCAAAAGAAGAATAAAAATATCACCCCTTGCATGGGCTGGTTGCAAAGATTCAAATGAGTTAATAGACACAAAGCGCCTAGACTGGTGCCTGGTGACAGCGTCTGCGCATCCAACACCAACCTCCTCCACGGGGGCGGGTCCCCTCTCCTCCCAGGCTCTGACATCACTGTCCCCACACCCAGTGACCTTGTCATTTCCCTGCCCACTCAGCATCAAGAACCATACACACATAAGAATATAGAATTTTATCTTCTTTTAGTTAAAAAAAATAATCGTACCACGGAATGAAGTAGCTTTTTTTTTGCGGGGGGTGGGACGGAGGGGAAGGGAAGGTGAGAAGGGGGGAAAAAAAAAAGCAAAAAGCCCAAAGGAAAAAAAGCATTTTATATTCATCTGTATAAACATATCCGCTAAGGCAAACGCAATCCGGGGCCAAGGCTGCTGCGCTGGGCTCGGTGCCTCCTAATTTCTGCAGATTCTAAGGCCAAAAAATAAAACCTCTGCAAGTCCGCGTAGGTTCGAGGACTCCTGGGACATTTTACTAAAATAAAGAGTTATCGAGTTTAAAAAGCAGTGACGCCGTTATGACACACACTGAAAGTTGCATAACTGTGGCCTCGAGGGCCACTGACTTGTTTGGACTGAGTGATGGTCACAGTTTCACGACACAGCAACAGACACCACACACAGGCACACGTATGTCAGCAAGCACGTGGGAAGCTGTGGCCGAACCGGGCCGGTGGCGTGGGCCTGACCACGGCCTGTCCGGGTCCCCATGCTTCCTCAGGGGGTGGGCATGACAGGCAGGTCGCTGGTGACAAGGCGGTGGACATCACTTGGGGAAGGATGGCAGGAGAGGGCTGGACAGGGCCCCGCTGCCCACTGCCTGGCGCATGCAAACACACTTAAAGCACTTCTCAGACGCTTCTCAGAGAATCAAGATGAAGCGCTCGTTTCCTTCCCTAGGAAGGCGCCAAGTCTTCCTCCCACCCCACTCTCTCCAGAGCCCCCTGGGACCCTCAGGCTGTTCTGCGTGGGTGCTAAGGAGCGGTGTCTCCGACCCCCAGAGCCTTCCCTGCCCAGGATCCCACGGCAAGCCCGGCAGGGGGTGGGCGTGTGAGGTAGATTGGCACAGCTGCCCCCACACCCTGCCTGGCTGGCCCCAGAGATCTGGGGGTCTCCAAGTCAGCATGGGGGGCGGGGGGCCTAGGTCCCTTCACCAGAATAGAAGCTCCCCACACCCTCTCCCATTTCAGTAGATGGAAGAGGCAGAGGCGGAGGAAGAGCCCCTGGGGAGGAGTCCCCTCATGCCTCCAACAAGCCCCTTGGGTCCCACTCTGTGGGGGCAGCTTTGATTCTCTCTCTTCTGCTATCTCCCAGTCTGGGAAGGGGCTGGCAGGGGGCCCCGGGGGCGGTGCCACCTGCTGGAGGAGGGCAGGGGTTCCCAGGTCTGGGGGACGGGGATGGTGGAGGGCAGGCACATGGGGCCGGGAGGGACCTAGGGCCAGGAACTGGGCCAGGGGCAGTGCTGGAGCAGGTAGCGGGGCAGTCAGGGGTGCAAGACAGCCCAGGGATTGCTAGGGAGGGCCGGGCCAGGCAGGGAGCCGGTGTTGCGGCCTCGCAAAGAACAGAGGGAGTGGGGAGGGGCCGGGCCATCTCCGTGAGACCCCTGAACTTGCTCCATTCACAGACATTTTTAGGTTTTTAGTAGTGGTCCCATCAGACAGAGGCAAGGATTCAGGCTCAGCCTCCCATGCGCCACCCTCGCCCACCGCGCTGGGGCCGGAGCAGGGCGGTCGGTGCAGCCCCCGCTACTTAAACGTGGACTGCAGCTCCTTGAAGGCCGCTTTCCGCTGCTTCATCTCCTCCGCCTGCTTCTTCCGTTCCTCCTGCTCCGCCTTGATCTCCTCCTCGAAGCGGCTGGACACGTTGATGGCCTGGACCTGTGGGGGTATGGGGGGAGGGGTCAGGGCTGGATGGTGTATGTTGGGGGGGTCTCCGTGCTACAGCTGCTTTTCCTTTTTTAATTTTTTTGAGACAGAGTCTCGCTCTGTTGCCCAGGCTGGAGTGCAAGGGCGCAATCTCGGTTCACTGCAACCTCTGCCTTCCAGGTTCAAGTGATTCTCCTGCCTCAGCCTCTCGAGTAGCTGGGTTTATGGGCGAACTCCACCATGCCCGGCTAATTTTTGTATTTTTAGTAGAGATGGGGTTTCACCATGTTGGCCATGTGGCTGGTCTTGAACTCCTGACCTCAGGTGATCCACCCACCTCAGCCTTCCAAAGTGCTGGGATTACAGGCGTGAGCCACTGTGCCCAGCCTTATGGCTGCTTTTCCTGGGGTCCCTTCTGGCTCAGGCTTCTGCCGAGTCCTACCCAGCAACACAAACAGCTTGACCGCACCAGCTCTGGCCCCGGGTCAGGCGCTTCATTCACCTTCCTCAGCCTCAGTTTCCTCACTAGAACCTGGCACCCAATAACTCTGATCTTATGGAGTTGTCGAGAGGATTGAAAGAGGGAACATATATTCTGTGGCTGCTGCAGAGCAAGGCTGCTCGAAGGGCGTCACTTAAGCCGCTGCCATCCTGATCCTCTGCTTCCTGTCCGGGGAGCCCAGTGGCCCACCCAGTGGCACTGATGAACCCTGAAAAGTTCCACCAATGCTCGGAAGCCCAGAGGGAGGTGGGAGGCAGTCTCTGGAAGCAACGTTCTTGGCTTAGCAAGGAAAGAGAGAAACAAGGCGGGAGAGCTGGGGCCCTGGGTGGGCAGGACCCAGGAGCCACCAAACCACAGGTGTCCCTTCCATCTGAGAACTTGCTGAAAGGGGAGGGTATTGTGCATACAGGTGGTCTCTGAGCCCCCAGGCTTCCTCCCAGGCTGGAGCTGGTAGGACAGGTGTCTGCCGGGGACCCTGGAGAACCAGTGCTGTGTTCTCCTGGGCCCTTCCCTCCTAAGGCCCAGTCCTCTGGGTTAGCGGCTCGGTGTGCCAGGACCAGGGCACCTCAAGGTAGTCCCTGTCCCATTTTGAAGAGTACATGTCCCTCACCTATCCTCTGGTGGCTGCCAAGGATCTCAGCCAGGAGTAGGAGGGCACAGAAGACAGAGCGTGTGGGCCTGGCCCAGCCTGGCAGGGAGTAGCTCCCATCTCTGCAGCCTCAGCAGGGACAGGAAGGGGACGTATTAACTTCGCGCTGACCCAGGGTCCCCTTGTCCTGGAGTGTGGGTCAGGGCACCCCCCGGGCTCCTCACCTTGGCCTCAAAGAAGCTCTTGGCCCCCTTGACGCCCTCACTGGAGACGTCGATCTCGGAGAGGCGGGCCAGCACGCACAGCCCGCTGTCCTCCTGAAGCTCCCCGGCCGCTGCCTTGCGGAAGATCAGGAGGAACTGCGGTGGGGAGAGAGGCGCACGGTGTCAGGAAGGGAGGGAGGGAGGGGAGCCGGAGTCCCTGGCCATACCCAGGCCCCAGCCTCAGGCCTCCCCTGCAGAGAAGGACTGGGGGGCAGTGAGCTGGGTCTTGCCCCTTGGTGCTACTGTGCTCCCCCTCACTGGGCCTTTGCCCATCTGTACGATGGAAGGTGACTCATGTACCCACCCAGGATGCTGGGCTACTGCAGCCCTGCCCTGCCCACGCCAGCTCCCGACGACACGGCCTCAACCTACCTCTTACCTCTGTCTCCCACTGTTCCCCCGGGAACCTACTCTGTGTTCCATGTATTGAGTCCTGAAGGTGTCATGACAGAATGAGGGAGCCTCCCAGACAGTAAAACACACGCCCAAAGTTTCAGTGCCTAAAAGTGTCGGAGGGATTCGAACCCTGCTCTCTAACTTCTAAGCTGTTACCCTGCACTGACCACACCTCCCTCCTAGCCACTCACACTGCCCCACGTGCCCCTGCCACTTCTCTCCTTCCCTGCGTCCTTCATGCTTCTGCCAGACCTCCTGGGCCCCACTTGGGCCTCGAGTCCTCACACCTAACCCTGTGCTGCCTGGGGTCCGGTATCATTGCTGTCTGGCTTGGGGCCTCCATTTCCTTCCCTGCGAAACAGGCTTGCCCCAGCTCCTGTCTCGGAGTGAGATCCTGGGCATGAAGTCGCCCAGTGCTGTGGCCCTCTTCCTCGGCGTCACAGCCCTGATTTCCCTCTGTGGTGTCTCCCCTCTACACTTCCAGGAAGGAACCTTCCAGCACAGGGCCTTTCTCTACCCCAGAGCCTGCACAGGGTCAAGTATACAGAAATCGCTCAATATAAGCTCCCTATGTGAAGGAGGGGATGTCCCTCTCTCCTCTTCCTCCCTGAAGGGACCCACAACCCTCTCTGGTGCCCGCTCTGACAGGCCCTCTGAAGCCTCACTCGGCCGAGTGAGTAGCAGCTGCTCAGAGCTGCTGTTCAATAGCGATGCTGTTCATTCACTGACAGAGGGTGGGGGTTGGTCTCTCCCGCGCCACCAGGTCCTCAGGTGAAGCCCCTGGTCGGGCTTACCTCCCGGAAGCTCAGCTTGCTGTCAAAGTCCTCATCCACCTCCTTGATCATGTTTTTCAGGCCCAGGTGGGTCTGAGGGGCCCCAAGTTTCTCCATCATGAGCTTTAGCTCCATCAGGTCGATGAAGCCGTCCCGCCCAGCATCATACCTAGAGGTGCAAAAAGAGAGGACATCTTAGCACTGGCTCAGTCAGAGAGGCTGCAGGCTTGAGCGCAAGGAGACTGGGGGACCAGAGGGCATCTCCCACCAAACATATCATCCCATCACTGCCGGAAGGGACCTCAGTCCAGGCAGAGGACCCATATGTGGCTCAGCTCCTGCTTGGTTACCTCTGATGACAGGGAACTCACCACAGGGCCTGGCAGCCTCCTGCACGTAGAATAGCACTAACTTCTGGACAAGCCTGAGGCACGAGGAAGCTGAAATGACAGCCTCCGTGTGCTGACTGTGATGGCCCAGACAGTGAGAAGGAATTCTCTCTTTTTTTTTTGAGATAGAGTCTTGCTCTGTTTTCCAGGCTGGAGAGCGGTGGCTCAATCTCGGCTCATTGCAACCTGCAACTCGCGAGTTCAAGCAATTCTCCTGCCTCAGCCTCTCCAGTAGCTGGGACTACAGGTGTGCATCACCACACAGCTAACTTTTGTATTTTTAGCAGATTCAGGGTTTCACCATGCTGGCCAGGCTGGTCTTGAACTCCTGACTTCAAGTGATCCACCCACCTTGGCCTCCCAAAGTACTGGGATGACAGGAGTAAGCCACCGTGCCCAGCCGAGAAGGAATTCTCAATACCATGGCAGGGTGAATCAGGCTCTGAGCTGAGCACTCAGCACCTCCATGACCAGCGGGCTTACTGAAATCTCCATGGGCACTTGGGGGACATCTCACCCCCACCCTAGATGGTAGAACGTTGCAGGCAAGGGCATGGTTTCTCAACCTCAGACCTTAAACAATCTGGACAGAATAAATCCTTGCCGTAGGGGCTGTCCTGTGCATTGTGGGAGGTTTCTAGTAGCATCCCTCCTGAGTTGTGACAGCGGAAAATGTCTCCCAGACATTGTCAAATGTCCCCAGGGGGGAAAAAGCATTCCCTGTTGAGAAGCACCGGAATGGGGGATGTGGCGTGGGTGTGGAAGGTGCCCTCTTTCCATGTGATAAATGACTCTTCTTACTCAGCACCCTCTGTACTGGGGGGTCTATTTCATGCCCCCCCCCCCACCAGCTTACCCTAGGTACTGGGAAGGAGGTTAAAAAGCATACAGTAGGTGCTCAAAAATGTGTAATGAAGAAATAGGACGTGAATAAATGAAGGGGTATCTAAGGCAGGGTCTCTGCCTTTGTGGAGGGCACAGAGCAGGAGGGGGGCAGGTGGCAGGAGGCGGCCTGGGTGTGTTCAGGGAAGTGTGGCGCAGTGTTGAATCCTGCAGTCTGCTGGCTGTGTGACCCTGGGCCGGTCACTGCCCACTCTGGGCCCCAGTTTCCTAAGGTAATGGAAAACTGCAGGCCAGGCTGCCTGGTGATCTTGCGGGCTGACCTCTCATTTTCTGGATGCTCTAAGCCACCTGCAACTCTCAGTTCCAGCTCAGGAGAGTGGCTGGTGGGTGAGAGGCCCCCTTAGCCTGGGAGATGCCTGCTCTGCCGGGCCTCCAGGGAACCCTCGCCTTCCTGTGCCAGCTGTCCCCACCGCACACACACCGGCACCGTGAGAGAGCTCCTCTATCACTTCCCTCCAACCCCAAGGGAAGTTTCTCGCTTCCCTGAATCTCCTTTCTCCCTGTTCAAGGGCTCTGTCCAGCGGCCGTCTGTCTCTCCCACCTCCCAGAGATGCTGGGCTTTGCGCCAGGCCCATAGTAGGGAGAAGTGAGGCCTTCTGGGAGGAGGGCTCATGCTGAGGGATCCTGGGTCAGCCAGGTCCACCCCTGCCTCCAGGCCAAGCCACCACAAGCCCTGCCTCCCAGCCCTGTACCTCCAATCAGACTGGAGCCTGTGGCAGAGGCCATGTGTTTTTAACATTTCTAATATCATCACCCTTTTATATTGTATGTGTGAAGTATACATGTATATGTGACACACACAAACTTCTATGTAACAACTACTAATATGATGATGCATAAAATTAACAGGTTTTAAGGACGCACTATGAGTCATGCATTACATCTGTAATCTCGTTTTCATTTTCTTTTTGTTTGTTTTTTTAAGACAAGGTCTCACTCTGTTGCCCAGGCTAAAGAGCAGTGGCTCACCAGCTCACTGCAGCCTCAACCTCCAGGGCTAAAGTGATCCTCCCACCACAGCCTACCTAGTAGCTGAGACCAGAGGCATACACTACCATGCCCAGCTATTTATTTATTTATTTATTTATTTATTTATTTATTTATTTATTTGAGACAGGGCCCACTTTGTCGTGTGGGCTGGAGTGCAGTGGCACAATCTCAGCTCATGCAACCTCTGGGCTCCCTGGGTTCAAGTAATTCGTCTCAGCCTCCCGAGTAGCTGGAATTACAGGTGCACGCCACCATGCCTGGCTAATTTTTATATTTTCAGTAGAGACAGGGTTTTACCATGTTGGTCAAGCTGGCCTTGAACTCCTGACCTCGATCTGCCTGCCCCAGCCTCCCAAAGGCAATTACAGGTGTGAGCCACCGCGCCCAGCCCTTTATTTTTTTATAGGGATGTGGTCTCCCTATCCTGCCCAAGCTGGTGTCTAACTCCTGGGCTGTAGTGATCCTCCCACCTCAGCCTCCCAAAGTGGCATTATAGGCATGAGCCACCGTTGGCCCAGCCTCATTTACTCTTTAATAATCTTAAAGGTGGATGTTAGGAATAATAATAGCTGGTTTTTAGTATCATAGTAGGCGGTATGGCGGCTCTCCCAGGGATCAGCCTCAGCAAGAGTCTGTTTTGTATCATTTCTTTTAATCCTTGCCTCCAGCCTGGAGATGAGTTCTCGATCTCCCTATGATGTAGATGAGGAAACAGGTCTGTGGGGTTAGGTGACTTGACCAGGGTTATTCTGCCAGCAGGTGGCAGAGCTGGGGTTTGGACCCCAGCTGTCTCATGAGTTGATGTAACCACAAACCTCAAGGCCATCTTCAATCAGGTCGACTCCTGAACCTGGCTGATCCCCTGCACTAGACCACATCAGAGCCCAGGCACTGGGCAGATGGCCATTCTGGTGGAGTCTTTGGGAACGGCCTCCTCCACGGCTACTTCTGTGGGCTTCATCTCCCACCCCAGCACCTGGCCTCTCGCAGCCCCAGTCACCTCCTCTGGTGATGGACTCCTTGGCACCAGCCAGCCCCTATATTGCCCTCCCCGGGGGCCCTAGCCTGCCCTGGATGGAGCCCAGCCCCAATTGATTGGCCCTTGATTGATAGAGGCGGCCGCTCAAATTGTGGTTTGAGGTGGTGTCAGCCAGGCCTGGGAGCTGCCAAAGACAGAGGGATCCACAGCCCACATTTCCATCCAAGTTTGGACACTTTATCTGCACTTCCTCTGAAACTGAGCTGCTCCCTGGCTGCAGAAGAAACCACACTTGAGCAATAAATAAAACTGGGGCTCAGGAGAGGCACGTGGGACCCAGGCTGGGACATGAACCCTGACCTGCTGGTTAGGGGGCTGTACCAATAACAGCCTCTGATCTAATCTGACCTGAAGGATTGCTGAGCACAGGGTTGTGGCAGAGGAGGTGCTGCCTGGCCAGGAGGTTAGTGGAGGTGATTCAATCTTGTTTTAGTGACGGCGACTGCCATTTGCGTGCAGCTCTGTGCTCTGGACCTGTGCTGAGTGCTGACAGGATGGGCTCAGTCATTCTCACAGTGGCCCATGAGAGAGCCCTTGCAGCAGGGTTCTCAGCTCCTCAGCACCACTGGCACTTGGGGCCAGCCTATTCTTTTTTAAGGCAGAGTCTCACTTTGTCACCCAGGCTGGAGTGGCAGGCACAAGCTCAGCTCACTGCAACCTCCGCTCCTGTGTTTAAGTGATTCTCCTGCCTCAGTCTCCCAAGTAGCAGGGATTACAGGTAAATGCCACCATGCCCAGCTAATTTGTGTATTTGTAATAGAGACGGGGTTTCACCATGTTGGCCCGGATGGTCTTGATCTCCTGACCTGGGCGATCTGCCCGCCTCAGCCTCCCAAAGTGCTGGGATCACAGGCGTGAGCCACCACGCCCGCCGGCCAGGTCATCTTTGTGGGGCCACCCTGTGCGCTAGTGGAGCTTCCCTGGCCTCCACTCCACCAATGCCACCGCACCCCCGCCCCAGGTATGACAAATCAAACATCTGTGACATTGCCAGATGTCCCCCTGGGGCACATGCACCCCAGCTTAAGAGATGCTGCATTTTGTGGCTGAGGAGCCCAGGCAATTTCTCTCCAGAGCCCGACTGTCATCGCTGACCTTCCTGGGAGCCCAAGGTCAGGAAGTGTCAGGGGCTTTGCTCGGGTGGGGGCACTGAGGAGGGGGAGTCCTCGTGACTTGGCCTAGGAAAGACTGAGTCCTCACTAGGTGCCTCGCAGCCATGGTCATGTGGCACCTGCCCAGCCCTCCACCAGGCAGCAAACAAAGTCCAGAGATGACAGGAAGGGCCTCCGCTGTGCCCCCCAGAGCCCCTTCAGCTCCAGGTGGTAGAGGCTGGACTGCAGCAGTCCTGGGCCTGCCTGACCCTCTCGAGTCCCACACCCCTTCTACGCCGCGAGGTGGCCACTGCTCACAGGGGCCGCTTGGCCCATCCGCCTCACCCCAGCCCTCATTCGTCAGTGGGGCAGAAGGTCCCAGGACCCTGTGTTCCTCCAGGGCTCCCAAGACCCATCTTTCTGTGCTGTGTTTAGCTTCCAACCACTGACCCACTGGCTGGTGAACTATTTATACCCCCCGCACAAATGCTCCCCGTGCTCCAGGCAGCTCTGTGTTCCTGCAGCGGCTCCCAGGACACACAGGGGAGGGGCTGGGTACAGAGCAAATGTGCAAGTTTATGAGTCCAGCGGACTCAGTCTGGAAGCCCAGCTCCCTCCTTACTGCTGTGACTGTGGGTGGGTCACTTAACCTCTCTGAGCCCAAGATAAACCAAGGTTATTAGGAGGATTAAGTAAAGCAAGCAGTTCTCTGCATAAAGACAGATTTGTGTACTATTGCTATCAGGTGTTTGGGAAGTACACCTAACTAGAGAAGGCGAAGGAGCTG